CGAAACCATTAAACTTATAAAAGATAAAGCTAAATTGCATATGAAATTCAAAAAAACAGGCAATGTTGTGTACTATCAAGAATTCAGTAGAATAAGGGCGTTAGTAAAAAATAAAATTAAAGATGCGTATATGCTATATTTGCAAAATGTTCAAGTCCAGTTAAAACATGAACCCAAATATTTTTGGGCATTTCTAAATGACAAGAACAAAAAATCAAGAATACCAGGTCGAATGACCTACGAAAATGAGTTAATCGATGATCCCTTGTTAATAGTAAAGGCCTTTAGTAGATTCTTCAAAAGTGTTTATTCTCTCCCTGACCCCAATGGTGGTAACTTAAATTTTCGAACTAATATTAATAACGTAATTCAAATTAATTGTGAGCCGATAACCGAGAACGAGATTTTGGAGGCGGGAAAAAAGTTGAAAAATAAAATGACTGCAGGACCAGATAAAATTCCATCTTTTCTTTTGAAAGATTGCTTAAGAGTGCTGACTAGTGCCTTGCAAATCATTTTTAATTTAATTTTGAAAACATCAGTTTTCCCTGATGCCTGGAAAATTGCGAAAATTTGCCCGGTGCATAAATCTCAGGATCGTGCCTCGGTTAGCAATTATAGGCCAATATCCATCTTAAACAATGTTGCAAAAGTCTTGGAGAGTGTACTTTACAACCGCTTATATACGGCAGTAAGTAACAAAATATCTATTCGCCAACATGGATTTATGAATTACAGATCAACTACGAGTAACCTTGCAGTTTTTAGTCAGTTTTTGTGTGAAACTTTGGATAATCGAGGGCAAGCGGATGCAGTGTACACGGATTTTTCTAAGGCTTTTGACAGGATTGATCACAATATACTTCTTTGCAAACTTTCAAGCTTAGGATTCAATAACACTTATTTAACCCTGCTAAATTCATATTTACACAATCGTCAACAATATGTATATTACAACGGGTTCTGCTCAGATACTTACTGTTCAACAAGTGGAGTCCCACAGGGATCAAACTTGGGTCCCTTGCTTTTTTTGTTATTTGTAAATGACATAAGTGATACATTAAACTGTAATGTCTTAATGTTTGCTGATGACTTGAAGCTATACTCATCTATTTCTTGTTTTGAAGATTGTTTAGCATTACAGGAACAGATCAACATTTTAGAAAATTGGTGTGAGGAAAACAAGCTTTATTTAAATCCCACTAAATGTAAGATTTTATCGTTCAGCCGCAAATCCAGTAACATTGAGTATCCCTATCGTATTGATGGCACAGTTCTTGAACGGTGCGAAACTGTTAAAGACTTAGGGGTTTATTTCGACATTGGGCTTACTTTTAATAGTCACATCAACACGATTGTCAATTCAGCATTTCGTACTCTTGGATTTATTATCAGAAATTGCAGAAATTTTCAAGATATATTAGCTCTTAAATGTTTATATTTTAGTCTAGTCCGAACGAAGTTAGAGTATGCAAGCATCATATGGAATCCTATTTATATTCACTATTCTCTAATTATTGAAAGAATTCAAAAGTCATTCTTGAAATTTTTAAGTTTTAAAATAAACGGAATATATCCCCCGAGAGGATGCAATTATCCAGAATTGTTGCTCACATTTAATTTCGTTTCCTTGGAGAAACGTAGGAATCTAGCCTCTGTTTTATTCTTGTACAAACTTTTACACAGTAAAATTGACTGCCCTGAGTTATTATCCTACGTAAATATTTTAGTTCCTAGAATTTCCTCAAGATATCATGACACTTTTTTTTGCAAAAGAGCTAAAACGAATTTATTATTAAAGGCGCCAATTAATGTGATGTGTAGCAATGCCAATAGGGTCTCTGATATGTGTGATATATTCTGTTGTAGTATTTCTCAATTGAAAGCTGTATGTCTTACGATTTTATAATGTAGTGCTTAAACATGTACATATTATTTAATTTAATTTTATAAAATTTTAAGTCTTATTTTATGTTTATTGATTTTTTTTATTTTTTTTTTGGCTGTTTTTATTCTGTATCTGGATTTTATCTGTGCTTAATGTTTACTGATTTTTCTATTGTTTTGAATATTTTGTATTTGAAAATAATGTTTTATCTGTACAAATTATCACTAGACATTTTGTTTTGTTACAATTGCTCTGTAAATGGATAACTCTGTTGGGCAATAAATGCTATTATTATTATTATTATTATTATTATTATTATTATTATAATAATACATACAGGGCTGGAAAATCCACATGGTCCATCTGCCTTTACATGAGAGCGACAAAGTAAAGTAAAGAAATCCGTGCAATAGACAAGGATTGCTATAGTGAAGACGTTTCATAATCTGAATTGTCACGGCCCGTTTCGGGTTAGAAGTGGGAGTGACTATTCATATTATGAAACGTCTTCAATGTAACCATCCTTGTCTATCGCACGGATTTCTATGACTTACTTTATCGCTCTCACGTAATGGCCGATGTACCATGGGGACTTTCCGAACCTGTATACGATGATTGAGTGGACGGCCCGTTGATGGTTTTCACATTTCAAAAAAGGCGATTCCAATCGTATGGATATGAGTCATTCTGGACACCCCTATTCAATTCGATGAAAACCAATTGAATCTACTCCTTTACAAAAATTCAAGACAACAAGCGAATGTGCGAATGGGATGCGATACAAAACAGTAGTAAATCACTTACATTCAATGGGAAGAATTCAAAGACTTGGGTTCCATATGTTTTGAACGAAAACAATAAGAATCAATGCTTTACAATTGCTGTTGGTTTGCTCTGTCGACCAACAGGTGGTCAGAAGGAACATTTTCTTCATAGTATTGTCACTGGTGTTGTCTGTACATGAACTTTAGTCAGCGGAAAGAATGGTTAAGCCCCAAAAACCAGAACCTCAATCTCGAAGGACAATATTATGCCTTGGATGGGATTGGAAAGGGATTCTTTATTACAAATTCTTAGCAAACAATTAACGTCCATTCAGGAGTTGAATTGGGAAGTTTTACACTCGACTTACTCACCTGATCTCGTGCCTTCTGATTTTCACCTCTTCTGCTCTTTGTCAAACTCTTTACGTGATGTTTCTTTTAACAATGATAATGAGTTAAGATCTTAGTTGATGAGTTTTTCAAGTAAAAATTGGAGGATTTCTACAGAAGAGGCATCGAGAAACTTGTTGAACATTGGGAGGAGATCATTAATGATGGAGAATACATCACTGATTAGCCTATTGATAATAGTAGAGTTAAAAATAAAATATCTTAAATCTGAAACAAAAGGTGTTTTTTTTTTAATGTGGACCCCACACTCCCCATCGGTGAGATTTGGTAAGATATGGTGGGACTCCCCTCCCTCACATGAGATTTACCTTATAATTTATAAATAATTAAATTTATTTGATATATTCATGTATTTTACTACATACCACTAAATACCTAAGCATTAATACTGATGAGATAAGAGGAGAAAATAATACTACGTTTAAGGTGCATTAAAACGAATTATTTAAATTTAGAATCCCAGGCATGGAAAATATTTAATCTGTCTGGAATAGATTTTTTTTTTAATATAAAATGTTATCTGTAACAATAATGTATATTCTTTGAATTAAAAATTTGACATGAGATTTTCAATGACCCCCATTTCCTTTAAATGAGATTTGATGAGATTTTGACAGACCCCTCCCCCCATTTTGAGTTCACATAATTAATGGACACCCCTTTACTTATCCCACAAACCAATGTATATTTATTATTTTTTTTTGTTTATTTGCTATTACTTTTGTACAATAGGATCCCAATTATCCATGTGCGGATTGTCCGGGGTGTGGATTATCCGTATTATGTCTAGGAATTTGTGGTGACGCGTTATTTTGTGTTTTTGTTTAGTAAAGACCCTATAACATTATGTGTTGCGGCTAACACTTCTAATCTGAAGAAGTTGCAAATATTCTATTAACCTATTCTGAGTAAGTCGACATTTTAAATTTACCTAAAATACGTCAGACAAAGAAAAACAGAAAAAGTTAAACATGGACCAAAATGATTGATTGTTTAAAAAGTATAGCTAGATTTTGTGCTCTGTTTTTTTTTGTAAAAAAAATGTTTTATTTATCCGTGTTTTTCAATTACGCGTGCCTCTCTCGGTCCCGTACATCACGGATAATCGAGGTTCTACTGTATATCAATTTTGTTTAACAGTTTTTTTTAAACTATAGTTTTGTAAAGCGAACAGAGAGTGCTGTTCATTAATTCTTATGCAATTTATTCCAAAATACAAGAAACAAATGGATTTTTTTCTTAATTGTGTTTTAACAAAGTTCCAGGACCGATACACTAGTGATTTTAAGACTTTCTTGGCCTGTGCCATTATTTAAGGTGCCATGATTTTTCGGCTTATTATACCGTGGCCTGAGTACCTGGTCACCATCAGTTATAAACTTATTATAGACTTTCTTAGCCTTGGCTAGGAATCTTTGATCTGTTGTTGTTTTTGGACAGATCTGCTATAAAAATCTTTAGGCCCGCTCTGATATTGATTTTGCTTCTTGTTTTTGGTTCTAAAACCGCTACCGACAGAACTGCTTCTCAGACAATGGTGGTCCTTTGAAACATTCCTTAGTGGCCTCTGTATCTGATCCCATCTAATGCTTCCAAATATCATTCGCTATCAGTATCTTCAATGGTGGCTCTGTAATTACTTCGCCACAACTAAGGCCATTTGAGCGGAGTTGCCAACTAAATTGACAAAAAATCCCCTGTGCTCTCATTGAAATTTAGCTAAGCTTTTTCAGTCATGTAAATGGTGAGAACCAGGTATAGGCCTTGACGCATTACCGGAAGAACCATTATACCTTTATATAAACTATCCTTCTTGAACTGAGGGATAGTTGCACATAATTAACTAGCTGTTTTAACCTGTCAAAAATACTGTTTTTAATTTGTGTTAAAATAAGAAATATTTTCAACAATACTGATGACAGCATTTTCTATTTTAGTTCTTCCTAATCCAGTATCTCACTGTGATTCATTCTCATCATCACAAATATCTTCAGATGGTTCGTTAGGTAGAATGAAAACCAAGTTCCACTTGCGGGATTTATTTATAGCACCTTCATTTGACGAGTTAGATGCTGTTGCTGTTGATGGCAAAGGAGAACCTAGGAAGTTAACAGGAAAGCAGTTAGAATATATCAGGGAAAGGGGGTATGCCTCTTTATTTTTTTAATACCTTACTTAAAAAAACCAACAAAAGTCTTGTGTAACTTTCAGTTTATGTAGAGAAAATATAGATGTAACGAATTTCAAATTTAATAGAACGCAAAGATATAATGTACAGATATGGTGTGCTTGCTACCACTTAGCCTTTCCACAGGCATTTCCTTAGAAACTAAATGATGCTTTATATCAGTACTAGCCATAAACAGAGTACAGTATAAAGCTCATTTAGCATAAAGTTTTTTTATCTTCATCATTATAAGACATTTTTAGTTATATATTTATACCACCCAGCGGTGCTCTGGTAATCTTTATTTTTCTCAGAAACAACTATCAACAATTGTCAGAATATTAATAGTTGACAATTTTTCTAAAATTCACAACTTGATAAAAAATGGATGGAATTAAAGAAGTGTACTCGAAGAACTTCACAACATCGACGGACATCTTGAGCCATCCTGTAAAAATATTTGTGACTTGTCATATAAATTTGTTACCTTTTGAAAAATATCTTTAGATATGTCCATTTTGGAGAAAAAAATTCTAATAAACTTTCCTTAACCCAATCTGATATCGAATATCAAAGGTGAGAATTTTAGGTAAGTCATTTTCAACTGTTAATAAAGAGTGTTGCAAAAGAAACACAGGATTTCATATGAGGAAAAAAAGATGTTATTAATTAAAAAGTTGGCAAAGTTTTTACAAGTTTTTAAAGCAATTGCCATTAAATATCGGACAGATGTCCTCCGTTAATCATGTGGCATATGCGGTTGAATTTTGTTGATAACTCTCCGAATTTCTGTCTTTAAGTCAGGAATGTTATTCATTTGAGGAGAATAAGGTTTCGACTTTACAAATCCCCAAAAGAAAAAATTGCGTGGCGTAACATTGCATGATCTTAGTGGCCAAGTCACTTCACTGTTACGTGAGATGAGTTTTCCAGTAAATTTCTGCCATAACTAGTGTATTATTTCACGTGCCACACAAAGTTCAATAGCATCTCTCATTATGGTTCTCCATTGACAGTCACTGCCAACCTCATTTTCAAAAAAGAATGGATCAATCACCCCAGCAGCGTAAAATCCAGACCACAGTGTCACTCTTTGGGTATACAGCGGTCATACTTGCGCGAGCTGAGGATTGTCTCTGCCCCAAATTTGACAGTTTTGCTTGTTCACATACCCAGATGATTTTCTTAGCAAAATCACCATCTACTTGTTGATTCTCCAATATCCAAACAATGAATGCATGGTACATTAAATGGTCGTCTGGTTTTAATTGTTAGGTTAGCTGAACCTTGAATGGATGCAGATGCAGATCTTTTGTTAAAATCCGCTACATTGTGCTTTTTGAAATGTTTAATTGAAGTGACCAACAGCGCACTGAGGTTACGGGAATTTCTGCCACAATATCACTCACCGTAGCAATATTTTTGGCTCAATGGTTAGTATGAGGTCGGCTTATTTTTTTTATCGTCTGCAACCTAACCTGTTTACGGGGCGTTCTTTCTACCAAAAATTCCACGTAATTAGCACACAGTTTCAGCGACATACTCTCTATACTTGTAACGAATTTTCACAATCTTCACTCGTTCATCGTCCGTCATATACCACTCCATTTTGTCTAACCGTGATGTATTTACTACAACGTGATCCTGCACAATGCTGCCAACTCTTCGGGATGAAAATGGCGCACAATTCAAATCCTGCGTTACTTTTGAGACACCGTTTATCTTGAAAACTGTTGATACTATAAAAAACACGTAATATTATGGGAAGCAAATTCGAAAAATTTTGTCGCACATCATCCGCAGATGATGTGCAACAAAATTTTTATGTATGAAAATAGAACAAATATTTTTTTGCTGATTAGTACTCATTTAAAATATATATATGTACATAGTATGTACGAAAATGCCAATGGAAATATTAAATGGTTAAAGTGGGTATAACATTTATTTTCTTAAGTGGATGATACTCTAACCAAAGGTTAACTTAAAACATCAAAATTCAATAAGAACTAATAGAACACTTGACTTACAAAGAGTCAAATAATTAGCATTTCACCATTTAGATTTACATTAAAATCCCTTAAAATTATGGGTGACCTATAGAAAAAGTGTTATTTAGTATTTTTTAAAATATAATCATTTTACAACAAAATAAATATTAAATATTATGTTCTTAATAAGGCCTTATTTATATAATTTCTATAATATTCAAAATAATATATTTTTGTATAATCTGATTTTTTGTTGGTTTATTTAAATGTCATTTATTTTGGAATGTTCTTAATTTTTCTGAATTATAAAATAATAAATTGATATATATGAAGCAAGTAATATACATTGAGAAAATGGTTAAATAAAATCGAAATAAATGATCTCTTATTGCCACACTTGTAAAATTTTATAAATGAATTATTGTTTTGTAAAGCTTGCACAAGGATAAATTTGGAAAACCAAAAAGGTTGAACCTGGAACAACTCGAAAGTATTAAATTATATGGGTATGTTAGATTGTATTGTGCATCATTTATCACAGTCTACTTTTCTGTCGCTTTCTATTTGATTTTTTTTTTCATTAATTCAATAATGACTGGTTTGGCTCCTTACTGCCATTTAATCTTTTTTTTTTCTTTGCTTCAGTGAATTTTTATGGTTGTGTTTGTTTTAATTTTCATAATTGTTTGATAAATAAAATAGTTTAAATTTAAAAAATATGCTAATTAACAGTGGCAGTTGAAGAAAATTAAAGTAGCCATTTCTATGCTCGCATAGGGAATTTTCATGATGAAACATTTTAAAAAATTTGGTAAATAAAGCTTCCCCTTAGATATGCCAAAAAGTATTCGCAATTTGTCATTTAAAAAGTTTGCATAAAGTAGATTTAAATTCATTTTTTTAATGATGGAGCATTGGTAGCACGGTACTCTACTCTGACGCGAAGTTTGAGCACGATCTATCAAGTAGTTTATTTACCGATGTTAATTTTGTTAGTCCACCTAAAGTGTGTTCTGCGTATTTTACTACGGATGATATTATTGAACAAAAAGTTTGCCTAAAATTCAGTTTTATTGAAAATTCAAGCATACGAATGGAATAAAGCATTCAGACATGGTCAGGAAGTGGTTGATGATTTGTCACATTCTGGTCGTCCTTCAATGTCTTCAACTGAAAAAAATATCGACGAACTGAAAGAAATGGTGCTTGCAATCCGTCCTTATAGTTTGAAAGAGCTGGCATATGAATTAAAACATATCTCACGAATCAGTTTACATTACTTTAATTTAAGTTTTGAGTATGAAAGCAGCATAGCTGGTTCCAAAAGAGCTGAATTTTCTTCAAAAAGTGCATCATAAAATGTTGGTGAAGAGTCAGACCCTACATTCATGCAGCGCATCAAAAGTGTGAACAGACATTGATTTACGCGTTCTAATAAGTTGAAACCAAAAAAATTACATCAGTCAATAAAAAATCAGTCACGTTGAGAGAGAATATCTGCCGCAAAAGACCAGGTTGATGAAAGGACAATTCTTGGATTTTGCACCATGATAGTGCGCCATCACACAAAACGATAATAATTGTGAGTGGATTTTTGACCAAAAACTCAACGAATGTCATCGAACAGCCACCGTATTTGCCAAATATGGCTCCTGATGACTTTTTTTTCCCTTATCTAAATTACCACTTAGTGAACACGTTAAAGTCCATACTGGAATATGCGTTTAAAAAATGCTTTGACGACAGGGTTGTTTGTTGGAAAAAGTGTATTGCTTCAAATGGAGCCTATTTTGAAGGAGACAATATAAATTTTTATGATTAATTGAATATATTGTTTTATTGACAAATGCACAATATTCAGTATGTCTACAGACAGAAAAGAGAGAAAACTTTCTTACCTGTTACTATATGAGAAAAGATCATTCTTGTTAAAAAAAAATGTATTTGTTGAAATGTAAAAAATGTTGTTTTTAGTGAGGCAATATACTGGGTGGTTCAAAGTGAGTGGCCTATTAGAACCTACCTACCTTTCAGAACTTACTTCGATTTAAATTTTGAAAATTGGCACACTAGATTTTTTGGGTGTGCTCTTTTCAAATCTAATAATTTTGTTCCTGTAACATTTCCGGTTATACCGGAAGTTGACTTCAACTTTGTTATTTTAAATGGAAATGATATTAAGAATTCTTTTTCTTCACTCAAACTGAATTATTAAATTTGATTTCTCTTCTTTTAACAATACATATTTGTACCAGTAATTTTAATTATTATTACTGAATAAGAGCATAAGCACTGTTTATTTATATCGAATTTCTGTTCAAATTGAAGTGTTAACGGGGGAATATAATAATTGGAAATTTAAAGTCAAAGATATTTTATTATACGTATTTAAAAAATATTCATAGTTACAATTTTCCAAATAGCTTTTATAATGCTTTTATGTATTTCTCCATTTATTTTCTTCATATCATAAGCTCGATCAGTTAAAATTACTGCAAGCTCTTCTGCTGGTTGTAAGTTTGGGTAGGTTTCATTAAATCTTCTACACGTTCTGTTAATGTTCCTATCACATTGCTCATAAATAACAAATAAATTCATAATAACTTCATGTTTTCCATTTTGTTTTAAACTGGTACAATAACAATTTCTTCTTGACAAATAATGGTAGACAGTTCTGTTTTGACATTTGTTTTGAAATCGCACTAAAATTTTCACAGCTCGCAGTTAAGTATGAATACATAATAATATTAATCTATTTCAATAAAGTACCCAAATGATTTCAAGTAGGTAATAAAAACTAGAAGAGATAAGTATAGGGAACCATAATATGGATGGAAAGAGAATAAAATGGTACATCCAAATTTGAAAAAATGTATGGGGTGTTCCATTACAAAAAATCAAGTTTAGATGGTTTCCAGTGGACCAAAGTCGGTATTGAATTATCACTGCATAAGATTAAGTAACTCTGATGGTTATGCAGCTTAGGT